GGCAACTGATCGGACAACAATTGGTTAGCCACCCAAACCAGACCCGATCTTAGTTATGATGTCAGTGAGTTAAGCTCGATACTAAAACAAGAAAATGTAGAATGTTTAAAACAGGCTAACAGGGTGGTAAAAAAAGCAAAAAGGAGAAATCTCATATAGATATTCCAGACTTAGGGAACCTTGAGCACCTAAAATTATTGCATACAGTGATGCTTCTTTTGGCAATTTAACAGATGGAGGTTCACAGGGAGGCTATATACTTTTTTAGTTGGAAGCAATGACAAGTATATGCCCATTGCCTGGCAGTCTAAGCGTATTAGAAGAGTTGTCAAAAGTACTTTAGCTGCTGAAACTTTAGCCATGGTTGACATGGCAGAAGCCTGTATTTTTATCGAAAACTTTTGTTAGAAATACTACAATTGAACGATGATACTAACAACATTAAGATCTTCTGCAAAACAGACAATTCCTGTCTCTATGATTCTGTACATTCCTCAACCCAAATTTTGGATAAGAGACTTCGCATAGAGATGGCTATTTTGAGAGAAATGATTGACAGAAAGGAAATTGCAGAGATCTCTTGGATATCAACTGATGTACAAATTGCCGACTCCTTGACAAAGAAAGGAGTGCCATCATTCAAGATCCTTGGGTTCATATCCGAACCAAAAGAATCATCTGTATAATGTAAATACCCGGCCCCTTTTTTTCTTTTGCAGATTAGATGATTCCAAACTGAAAAGAAGAGAAAAGAGGGGAAGAACTGTTAATCTATGTGAGCTATCTCCCCTGAAAACTCTCCCTGCCGGGAAAAGGACTTCCGGTCGGAAGTCGGGGCGGCGGCCATGTTTGTTTATATTTTTCTTTATGCACCTTGACAGTCCTTTATTTTTATACTAACAGTGTGGAACCACTTCTTAATTGCTGGTGTTCCCAGGTCCACTCTGACCTGCGGTGGTAGCACCCGTTAGGGACCCAGCTATGAGCAAATAGTTAACACCCAAACTTGTGTAAAAATAGGTTTTAATACCAGAAATACTTTGTAAAAAAAAAAAAAAAATTACCAGCAATAATTTTTGAAGGAAAAATTATTATTAGCAATACTTAAAAAAAAATACCAGCAATACAAACAGCTATACATTTTTTGAAAAAAAAAAATAAAACCATTACCAGCTATAGATTTCTTGAAGGAAAAATATTCTCAGAAATAGATTTTTGAAGAAAAAAATATTCCCAGAGATAGATTTTTGAAAAAGAATAATATTACCAGCAATAAAAATTTTTGTCAGCATTAAATAACCCATTGAGGTTGATATGCTGTAAAACAAACAAACAAACCTTAATAGTAGGTTTTCTCATATTCTAAAACACTCAGTAACCCCTTGCATCTTAGTGCCTTTATTGCCTTGTTTCGAGTGAAATGATTGAAAAAAGGTTCTTATATTATTCTTATAGAAATAGGAGATATTTTTTTAATAAATTGTGTCTTAGAAAAAATGATACCAAAAATACAGACAGCAGACTAAGAACATCAGGCCACAGATTCCTATAATATATAACTGAAATAAAATTATTTTTCTGATGATGATGTAAAAATACAATGCAATGCTTCTCAGTGAAATACGTCAAAGTAGAAGTTTCCTGAATTGTCTTATATATTTACTATACTGTCGGATTTTCATCTAAGTTTATATTATTTTTACTTTTAAAACAATAAAAAATATATTGGTGACATAAACAAATACTTGTAGGAACACTGAGATGCGACTGTGTTGAGTGTAATGATGGCCTTATCATTAACAAGAAAGAAAAATGTGGAAGTGACAAAACAATCAATAGGGACATGGTTGCGATAAGTAAGAGTTTTTATTCCCCATGATCTGCAAGTTTTGATCATTTGCTTGTTCTGGTGGAACATATATCAGTTGTGGGAATCTGAGAATCGATCAGTGACAGACCAACATTTTTGGATCCCTGAAGCCTGAATAGATATGGGAGTTCCTTTGCAAACCAGCGACAACAGATTTGAGGAATCAACTGCCAAAATTTCAGCTATGATTCTGGTGAGCACAACAAGTCCATACAGCTTGGAATTTGGGTGCTGCAAACCTCCAAGAAAATTTTGAAATTTGATCAATTACAGGATAATTTTGAGGCCATATGAAGTGGGGATTTGAGCATATTCTAAGGCCAACATTAGCTACTTCAATCGATTGGCTTAGGGGTCTCTCTGGAATTACGGATCTTGAAGCTTAAGCTTCATTAGTTTCATAGTAGACCCACCACTGGAGTTCATTCAGGGTATAACAAAAGATAATAGCTGAGACAAAGATGTTGAGAAAATCTATACATATATGTTGTCATGTGAGACTTTTAGGAGAAATCAACATGCATATGTGGTTTAAAGTTTAAAGTTAGTTTCTGCTGATTGGTTTGGTTACTGGCCAAAGGCATCACTGTTGATGAAAGCACCTTTGTTACACTATTTACATTTGGACTATTGTCCTCATCTTTGTTGTTGTTATCACAAAGTTTTGAAAGTTGTTCCCTCTGGCCTTATTCAGGTTTATATCAATCCAGGTAACCTACAGAAAATCCCAAACTGAACCCTTTATTTAATATCATCATCATCCTGCGGCCTCAGCCGAGATTGAACTCACTACACCTCTCCAGTATTCCCTATCCGTTATAGCTCCTAAAAGATCTTCCTTAGGGATCAATGTGTCTCATTTTATCCTATCTGGGAAGGTTAACTTGCGTGATAGATTGTCAGATGATGGGTGCCTCCAGAGTACAAATGATGACACAAGTTCATCTGTGGCACATGCACAATGCCCGGCGAATTGGACACATCTTTTGCAAACTAAGGTTGATACTCTCGGCAAGTCTCCATATATCATTTCTAGAGTTGGGCGGTTTCACCATGAGAGATTAAGCACTCTTCTTAAAAGACGTGTATAACATCCATCTAAATGACGCTGTTGTTTTGCTGAGAGAGTCCAAGTTTCAGAGCCATAGAGTAAGATTGGTTCAATAAGTACACGGAAAAGTTGGATTTTGAATTGACGAGCAAGATTGGATTTCCAGATCTTATCCATTTTGTTACAAGCAGTCCATGCCATGTCTTTTCTAATGTTGAAATCTTTCTCAGAGTTCTTGATGTGTGATCCTAGTTACTTGTAGTCTTCGACACATTTGAGGATGTTGTCTGAGAGTGTTTTGATCTCATGATTGTTGCGAATGTTAATTGGCATACACTCAGTTTTGGTTTCATTTAGGTGAAGACCTGCACAGTTAGTTGCTGATTCAAGAGAAGAAAGGAGTGCTTGGGCACTAATGAGGTTGTCAGACAACAGTGCAATGTCATCAGCAAAATCAGCATCGGTGATGTAGAGTGCAGGATGACATGAGCTTCTTCTAGGCTGATACATCAGTCCATTTTCTTTGATTGTGTCCACTGATATACGCATGATGTGGTCTATTACAATGATGAAAAGGTGTTAGTGTGTCACCTTGGAGAATGCCAGCCAGAATATCGAAAGGTTCTGTTTCACCATCTGGGGTCAGGACAGTGGCCTGTGTGTTGGTATACAATACTTTGATTGCTTCAATGATTTCTACTGGTATGCCATAGAGTTCAAGAATTTCAAACATAGTCTCGCAGTTGACTGAGTCGAAAGCTTTGCTGAAGTCTACAAAAATAAGAGCTGCAGTTTTATTGCACAATGTGATTTCCTCAATTATTCTACACAATGTGAGGATTTGTCCAAGAGTGGAACGACCTGGGCGGAAACCATTTTGGTTTTTGCATAGAATAGGTTCAACTTCAGCGCGAATTCGATTCAGAAGAAGCTTGTTATAGATTTTCGCAGCTATAGGAAGCAACGAAATACCGCGATAATTTAATATACAGAGGTAGACTGTTCTCATCCCACTGCCCATGTCTGGGGTTAGTTCTTAATTTTAGTAAAAAAGAATCAGCACATATTCTAGTCTATGTGAATTGCCTTAGTAAGTCTAGTATAAAAATAAAAATGATATAGGAGCAACTAATAAGGAAAGAAAGACAAATGATAGCATATCTTCAGCAGCAGCTGTAATAAAGAGAAGTTTCAGTGAGTGCAGTCAAGTATGATAAGCAGCAGCAGCACTCATCAACAGCCAGGCTAGGTTTAGGGCTCCAAGTTATTCTCTAGGGAAATAGCCTAATGGATTAAAGTGAATTTGTTGGCATAATAGTAATTGTGAGTTCAATTCCTGGGCTGGGCAATATGAACATGGACAGGGTAAACAATAAAATCTAGATAAGATATCCACAGACATGAGCAGTGGAACGAGAACAGACTGTCCCTGTAGATTAAATAAAGTGTTCAGTTCTGAATTCCAGGTATATGAGTGCACAACAGCCAAAATGTTGAGATAACAACAATGAAGATGAAGAAAATTTATTGCATGAAAATAGCAGGTGTGCATAGATGCAAGAGCAACTTTGTTTTCAATGAAAACTAAGGCAGACACACAAAAGGTGCACAACAAAGAAAGAATGAATTTGGACCGATTTTTTTTTCTGTCTAATTTCCTTCTATTTTGGTAAAATTCTACCCATCATTTCTATTAGAAAAAAGATTTTTTGGCAGTGGGATGCAACCCTCAACACAGAATATTCCCATATTTTGCAGCATTTAAGTTTTGTTCTTTGTACAATGACTTTTTGAAAAAGCAGCTCAAATAAAGATGCCTGCTCCAACCAGAAAAGACAGATAATAAAGACAATATATTTCATCATTGAATCTTCTATGATACATTTCAAGAGCAATTCTAAATTAAAGCTGATTTCATTGCTAAAAATCATTTGGGGAAACCATTCTGATAGAAATGTGATCTTTTAATAGAATGTAGAATAATACTCTCTAAAAATTAGCCTGCAAGCATTTTTTAGATCCAGACAAGAATTATGTTCACCAAATAATGAAGTTACTTCATTTCAGAAGGTAAAAACAATGTCAGAATATTTATCTTATTCTGTTCATTATCTATCTATCTATCTATCTATCTATCTGTCGGTCTCAGTTTGTTCATATCTATCTATTTAACCATCACACTGTTCATATATCTCTATATGTTTATATCACTTTTTTCTACATATCTCTCTATACTTTTTGTTTTATCTTTCTTTCTCTGAGTGTTCATATCTATCTATATCAGCATGTTCACATTCCTCTCTCTCTCTCTCTCTCTCTATATATATATATATATATATATATATATATATATATATATATATATATATATATATATGTTCTCTTCAGTCTGTCAATGCTCAACCTGCTATAACCCACCCCATGTATACTCTGCCATAATATATGGCATCATCATCACAAATAATGCAGCAAGTCATACAGTGAGACTTTGACTACAAGTAGTGCAACTTTGAAAGCTGATATTTACCGAGCGGGTTTGAGCATGTTGACAGATAAAGGGTTAAAACTGTTTATCTCTCTCTCTCTCTCTCTCTCTCTTTTTATTTCAATCTGTTCATATTTCTCTCTATATCTATCTCGCGATTTCAGTTTCTATCTATCTATGAATCAGTCTGTTCATATCTCAGTCATTTCATATCTATCTATCTCGGACTGTTCATATCTATCTATCTCTCTATCTATCTATCTATCTATCTCGGACTGTTCATATCTATCTATCTCTCTATCTATCTATCTATCTCGGACTGTTCATATCTATCTATCTCTCTATCTATCTATCTATCTCGGACTGTTTATATCTCTCTATCTATCTATCTCGGACTGTTTATATCTCTCTATCTATCTATCTCGGACTGTTTATATCTCTCTATCTATCTATCTATCTATCTCGGACTGTTTATATCTCTCTATCTATCTATCTATCTCGGACTGTTCATATCTCTCTATCTATCTCGGACTGTTCATATCTATCTATCTATCTCGGACTGTTCATATCTATCTATCTATCTAGGACTGTTCATATCTATCTATCTATCTTTCTTTCTCAGACTGTTCATATCTATCTATCTATCTATCTATCTATCTTATTCATATCTACTTCTGTTCAGCTTTGGGTTTGAGGTTACTACTGAGATGTTTATGTTTTGTTTCATTGCCTATAATCAGTGTTCAAGATCAGATCAAAGCCAATATTTAGAATGTTGATTTTTCATCACTGAGAAGCAGATAAGAAACTTAGTTATACCAAGTCATAATCTTAGTAGTCTGTAAATTGTATGCTTGTAAAATTTACTATACCTGTATCTATATATATATATATATATATATATATATATATATATATATATATATATATATAGGAATGTTTTACCTATTTTTTTCTTATACAGAATTTTAACTATATTTTAATTCTCTGAATAAATTTTTACTTTAGCCATTGACATTTTCTTATCTGTCAATGGCTGAAGAAAAAAATCTATTTAGAGCTGAAATATAAAATTAAAATTATGTTCTGGTGTATGTGTACCTAGAACTGGACAGTTCCTCTCTCCGTGTCCAGTTTTGAAACACACACACAAAAAGTGGTTTTACATTTTTTGTTTGTTTAGTGATTGTTTTAATCTTTGTCTGTGACTCATCCTTACAGACAGTTGGGTGTTACTTTTGCGGTTTTCTCTTTGTAGCTTGACTTAGGAGATTTAAAACTTGATTCTTTTTCACAGTTCCCTAACCACTTGTTTTAATCATTTTCCTAATGTATCTTATGTCACATGACATAGTAACCAGTCCTATAGATGTTTACATTTTTTGTTGAATTTTACTAACCTCCTCTTCTATACAAGAAAAACAAAAAAACAATTCTTTTATGAACCATGTTATACATCTCATAGGCCTATTCTATTAATAATCATCTAATAGGTCTATTCTATTAATAATCATTTATTAGGTCTATTCTATCATCAATCATTTATTAGGTCTATTCTATCATCAATCATTTATTAGGTCTATTCTATCATCAATCATTTATTAGGTCTATTCTATCAATAATCATTTATTAGGTCTATTCTATCAATAATCATTTATTAGGTCTATTCTATCAATAATCATTTATTAGGTCTACTCTATCATCAAACATCTATTAGGTCTATTCTATCAATAATGATCTATTGGGTCTATTCTATTAATAATAATGATCTAATAGGTCTATTCTATTAATAATAATGATCTAATAGGTCTATTCTATTAATCATTTAATAGGTCTATTCTATCAATAATTATCTAATAGGTCTATTCTATTAATCATTTAATAGGTCTATTCTATCAATAATTATCTAATAGGTCTATTCTATTAATCATTTAATAGGTCTATTCTATCAATAATTATCTAATAGGTCTATTCTATTAATCATTTAATAGGTCTATTCTATCAATAATGATCTAATAGGTCTATTCTATTAATCATTTAATAGGTCTATTCTATCAATAATGATCTAATAGGTCTATTCTATTAATCATTTAATAGGTCTATTCTATCAATAATTATCTAATAGGTCTATTCTATTAATAATCATTTAACAGGTCTATTCTATTAATAATCATCTATTAGGTCTATTTTATCAGAAATGCATGCATTCACTGACAGTTCTTTACTTTAGAATTTTCAATATATATCTATAATAGGATTTTTTCTTTTAATTCACCTCAAAATAAAAAGAATTTATATTTACTAAAATTCACACCAACTCTCCTAGAGCAAGTCTCTTCCATTGCACTCCAGTTGTGTTCACCTTTGCAATTGTCCCAAATGTGGGCAACTCAGGTCTGCTATTTCTAAGTGTGGGATCTACATTGTGCTTACCCTGATAAACAAGCTAAAAACAGATTTTTTATTTTTAAATTGTAAAAAATTCCTTGTAAGTACCTCAAATATCATCCACACTTAGAAAACGTGATTAACTCCCTGTTTTTTGATAATTTTTAATTCTGAGGGTTGGAGTTGTTGTGAGGCAAGCTGAACAAATTTTGATTTAAAATTTATAATTTCTTGCAGTGAATTAAGATTTGTAATAAGTAACTTTACATTATTTGTGGTGAATTAAAAGAAAAGATCTCTATAGTAGGAATCATTTGTAATACATTTACATTATCCATGCAATAGATGTATTTTGTCAGTAACACCCGAATTCACTTTTGATCACTGACTTTCTCTTTCATGATTTTAAATACGCTGTACATGGATTAAGTAACAGCTTGTAAAATATAATTTTTCAGTACTGCAAAAAATATTAACTTTTTCATGTAAAAAGGTTTAATGTGAAATGGGGGAGTGGTGGAGTAGTGGGGAAACTGGAGTGAATTGTGTTGTCTGAGGATGGTACTTATCCATTTGTTGGAGTGATGGTAGTAGATTGTAAAGACTGCATAACAGATCAGGTACTTAGGTCAATACAGTATTTGCATGGTTGGTTGGCATTCTCTTGGGAATAGAGTAGCAGTCAAAATGAAGGAAGTGGAATGTACTTAGTGACACTAACCCAAACACAACACTGGAGCGTGTGAAGGAATAAACAATTGAGAATAAAATGAAGTAGTATCAATAACAAAAGCATTATTATTTATTCTACAATGTGCTGAACTGGGGAAGTTCATAATATGGGGTATGCCTGGCAATAATCCAACCATTTAATATAAATGGCATGAAATGGTGTCTTAGTCCATTCAAAGTATTCTCTTCAGGGCCTTAAATAGTTATCTTAATATTTCTTTCAAGATTCTTTTTAAAGATAATGTTAGTTATAAGAAGAACTATTGTGGGCAGTATATTGGCCTGCAAGCAGATATTGAATGACAGAAGACAACAACAAACAAAACAAAGACCTGAGTAAAAAAAAATGTATTGCCAAGTTTATTTTTGTTAAAGAAAAATAAGTTTAGAGTGAACTAGGCCAAAAATATCTCTGCATGCTCATGTAGAGGGGAAGAGGAGTGTTGTCTTGGTAATTTTTTGTAGTTGCTGAAAAGTGTTGTCCTGAAAAGGACAATTTATTGCATATCATTGCTGTTGACGAGGAAGCCTGTTGAAGTAGCGGGAACTGGAAGCCTGTTGAAGTAGCAGGAACTGTAAGCCTGTTGGAGCAGCGGGAACTGTAAGCCTGTTGGAGCAGTGGCTGATGGTGAGCTAGAGCTGTGGGCTGGCTTTCAGCTGCTGGAAGAGATACTACACTTTTTGATCCCAGTTATCTGGACCCCAGAAGGTGCTTTTTTTTCTTTGATGCTGTGGAGCCTTTTTTTCTGCTGAATGTGTTTTACGTTGGTTGCTAGTTAAGCTTTTTCTTCTGGTTGTTTTTAAAAAATGTGGGAGTACCGATAGGATATGACAGAGCTAAATGTTGCAGTGAGCCAACCCTGAACTGTGGCGGGTGCTAACACAATTTGGGTGGTGCCATGTTTTGCTGAAAAATCTCTGCACAAGACATAAACAATAAGCAGTCAAAATATTCAAGATAGCAGGAAAACTGCCAGGATAATCCATGGAATCTTTAGATTTTTTTCCAGTTCTCACACTGTCAATCACCAATTTTCTTTGATTGCTGTCTACAAGCATTCAGCAATCTTGTGTTCTTTGTTGAAATAATTCCAGAATGTAAATTCTTTTAATGTGTTTCCAAGCAAGTATGAAATGTTGGGAACTCCAAATTTTATCTTGTCTTGACTTGAATCATCCCCAAAATCCAGCTTAACCATTTAATAGTTCCAGTGGATGAATGTCCAATTTTCAAGCAAAATTTGATGCATATTCACTGAGAACATGATAGTCACACAGTACACAAACTCACTCAATTGTATCTCACAGCATGTAAAGCAAATTTGCCTCTGATTTGTTGCCGATTTACACCGAGGATGCACAACTGATTCCCAAGATATGCAAAAGAGCTCGATGTATTCCACACACATTTATAGTTTAGAACAGTGCTTTCAACCTTTTTGCTGGAGTGGAACCCCATGGAAACATTCCACTGGCTCGAGGAACCCCTGTGCAATAATTTGGTTGTCTTATGCAAAAAACAGCATTTAATTAATTATACAAAAAAATGCAATTTGTAATAAAATGAAAATATTCATGTTCAGAGTATTGTAAATGAAATGAAAACAAAAGTGTACATGTTTGAATAGATTACATTTATTCTTATGAAAAAAGTCAATGGGAAACTTGAGCCTGGTGTTTCTTGCACAACTCTTTAAGATTGGGTCGTGTTTTTGACAGACACACACGAAGTTCATCTTCCACAGACCGCAATTGAGCTCGTTTCTTGTGCTTGATGGTTGTCAGAGCTGAAGATCCAAATTCACACAAGTAGGAGGGTGAAAATTGCACAAGAAGTCGTAGCGCTTTCTGGGCAATTGCAGGATATTCCTTTTCAACCAGCAACCAAAATGCATTCACGTTAAGTTCAGAATGCTTCAGCTTTAATGTCCTGTCATTTAGAACACTGGCAAGTTCTTCTTCTTCTGTTAATGTGAACTGTTCTTCAGGCGGCTCAAATTCTACAAATGGGTTTCTAATCCAGTCATACTGCTCAACAGATATTGATGGAAAATATTTGTCAAGATTTGTTAACAAAGTGTCCAAATGGTTCAAAATCAGTAGCCTAATTTCTTGACAATTCCTTTTAAAAACACATGGAAACATTTCCAAATTTCCTGCAGCTATGCATTTCTTCCATATTGTCAATTTCTTCTGAAAAGCATTTATTTTGTCAGTAGAAGACAAGATATTTTCGTTCCTGCCCTGCATGCTATTGTTCAAGAGGTTTAGTTCATGAAATATATCGGCAAGATATGCTAACTTCGAACACCAATGGCCATTACTTAAACATTCTACAAAGTCTTTCAGGTTTTCTTGCAAACAAAAGGTCAATAACTCTTCTCTTAATTCGTAAAAACGAGACAATCATCTTGACAACCATCGTATTTCTTTGTGCTGGATTAAGGTGGAATGTTCTGCTTCCATACCCACACAAAAAGTTTCTCAAACTGTCGACATTTAAGTGGCCTCATCTTGATGTAATTAACTATTTTAACTACCATATCCAATGCAGATTTTAGTTCAGAT